CTAGTAGGGGTAGGGGTCCTGGGTGTAACTGTCGAGAAGAATCCCATTAATGTGGTCTGCTTTGTAATTATCTTTTTTTCTTCATAAATTTCACAATAGCATCGTGAATGTTCACTCATTTGCCGCTCCACTTTCGCGAACCGCTCAACATACGGATCCATACCCTCTAGTGCTTACATAGCCACATTCACTTTCGAGAACACACCAGCTAATCCCTTTACAGTGAACTTATTTGGTACTTCTTCTATTATTTCCTTTTCTTCTTCCTCCTCCAAGTGTTGCTGTGCTTCCAACTATTAAATCTTCAGTAGTTAGCTCTCCCTTTACATATTCCACTGATTCTCCAATATCTTCCGCTTCAACGCCTAAATTAAGCATTAAGCAAGTTCCACAGTTGTTTTATTTATAACATCAACATATTCATCTGTGTCAAAATCTTGAAAATTATTCACACAATGTTTTAGGCGTTTTTTCCATATGCCTTGCATACACTTTTCTGTCACTCCCTTCCAAGGTGATTCATTGTTGTTTATGCAATCTAAAATGTTGTATGATTTCCAAAAATCACAAAGAGTTACTTCATCATTTTCTGTTGTTGCTACAGTTTTGGAAAAAGTTGTGCGCAAATAGTATGCTTTGAATGTAGCTAAAGCCCCCTGGTCCATTGGCTGAAGGATAGCAGTTGAAATAATGAAAGGCTCATTGGCATTCTTTTTTGTATATGGTCATCAAACCAGATTGCCAATAAATTCTCCATATCATGAATCAGACCTTTCTGCTGCCTAGTTATTATGGCTTTAAAGCCTGTTGATGCTTTCACTGCCTCGTTATCTGTATCTTTCACGATTGTTGAAATGGTTGAATGTGATATGACTGCTAGAACAGATAAAATACAGATATGACTGCTAGAACAAATAAAAAAAATCTCATTTACAGATATGACAGAAAAAGAGCCATTGCCCAGGGCAACCAATCAGCTTCTCTCTACAGTTCGTTCCGTCCAATCAGCTTCTCTCTCTCTCATTTTCAAATCTTAACGGAACGAACTGAAGAGAGAAACTGATTGGTTGCCCTGGGCAATGGCTCTTTTTCTGTCATATCTGTAAATGAAAAGAATGGTGGGGGAAGGGGGGACATTGGGGAACCTGGATTTGGAGCAGCAGAGAGTAAATGTGACCCAGGATAAGGGGGAGATCTGAGAGAGACACCGGACACACAGAAGGTCTACAGAACAGCACAAGTGAAAGAAGATTCTACCTAACACAGACACATAGAGCTATGACTCATCTCTGCTCTCTCTCCACAGAGCAGAGAGAGGAGGGGGGAAACAGCTGATTGCAGTTTAGAGATAACAACCCGACCCTCTGAGAGAGACGGATTGAAGATATTGTGGAGGGAATTTTGAACTTCAAGGCCTCTGGCCTGTAAAAGAATCTATAAAATAAAGTATGAAAAACAGCCCTGTGACTCCTAAGAATGCACACACATGTACATCCCCCCTGCACCTCCCATTACCACCAAAAACTCAAAATCACTTACAAAGGTGAAAATGTCCTTTAAATCAAGCCCCCACTGACCTCTGTACAGACACTGTGGATCAATTCATCCTCAAATTTCACAAAGAAGCACTTATATTTGCTCGGTTGGGTCTCTCAGTTCTCTGCTCCTCTTGTCCATAGCTAGGTTACAAATAGGTATATCTTTCACCTGGAATCCTTGAATTCTGCTTCCTCTGAACAGTCATGACATGACCAAGTGCCAAATTCTGTCAAATTGTCTCAGAATGTCCCATAACTGAGTGATAGTGCCTGCTTATCTCTGCTAAATGAACAGAGAGTGATAGTGGATTGTCAAAAAAAATTAAACTAGCTTGATGAATGGCCTTTATTTTTTTAAAGGTATTTTCTTATTTTTGTAATAGTAATAAACAATGTCTGGATAAAATTTATTCTTACAATAATTGGAACATAATACCTAATACAAAAAATACATGAAACAAGAAACAGATATACTGTAGATTCAGAACAACCATACATATACAACATATAAACACATTCTACCCAAGCTCCCTCTCCCATATCCCTTTAGTGACAGGTACACTTCCATAGTTCCATATTTTTATTTTCTGACCCATTTAATGGTGAGTTAAGAAAAGGCAGCAGGAGACTAAGAGGGTTATTCACAAAGCTGCCGAAGGATCCAGCCGTAGCTTTGGCTGATCCTTCGGCTAGCTTCGGTTACGGGAGCCCTTCGGTTCAGTAGAACCGAATGGCTGCTGTGTAGAGGCTATTCACTATAGCCCGTACAGCTCCCGAAGTTGGTCCAGCCGAAGGCATATGCTTCGGCTCGACTGAACCGAGGGGAAATCCGAAGTTGGCCATTGGCCTGGTGAAAGCCTGCTACTGACAGCTTGGCGGAGCCAGCCATCATCTCACAGCTGGCTCCGGCCACTTGCATTGACAGATCAGCGTCCCCTGGTTACCTGATCTGTCATTACAATGAGAACTCGGCAGAGCTTAGCGGAGCCGGCGGTGATATGAAAGCCGGCTCTGCTAAGCACTCATCGTAGTGACACCATAAATGTCAGTGTAATCCCTCTGGCAGAGAGCTGCAGGTGCAGCATTAAGGCCCACATTAAAGTCAATCGCTGCATGCTGTTGTCGGTGGGTATTCGCTGGCCCCATGCTGACAGACGTAAGATCTCAGACACCCCCAGTCTGTCCTCGAAATGATATGTCTGTGCACATGTGTACAGTAGGTTTACATGGTGTTTCCTCCCCACACCCACTCTACTAATAGACAGTTAAAGGAGAAGCAGCAGACAAATGAGGCCATCTTTCTGTCACTCTTCATCCGCCTTATTTTAGCATGCTTCATGCAATGCAGCACAACTGATTGGTTCCTTGTGCTGCTTCTCCCTTCTCCAGGCTGATCTGTTCTGTACAGGAGATTTCAAGAGGCTGATACAAAGTCAAATTCAGAAACTAAAGCTAGTAATACACTGCCCGAATTTCGGCTGAGTCCTGCTGACTTGGTCGAAATTCGAGCACTGTGTGGCCCACCCGTCAGTACCCCTCCATTTTACCATTTTTTCAATCAACTTTTTGTCAAAGGAGCTGGTCCGAAAATTCTTGCCTGAACAGTGACTGCAGCCAATCAGCTGCTGTCATTGTTCAGGTATTCTGACAGTGACACACTCACCACTGTCAGGATACAGCAGCCCGGCAAGGGGAATTTCCCCATCCAAGAAAAGTGTATGGCCAGCTTTATGTTACTTGTATTACAAAAAAAAGTTATATATACCAATACAGTGTTACATTAATTTGTCTTTTATATCTGCCTGGAGTTCAGCATAAAAAGAAACAAAACCTGGACTGAGTATAGCAATACCATGGGATTACAAGATTCCCTTTGCAATGGGTAAACCTGGATGTTAGTTTTGTTTTCTGTGACATTGCACCATTTGGTAAACCACAACAAACACCGCTCACATTCCAGAACTGGCGTGCACTCTAATTGCATCCCAGATGCAGGCAAACAAGCACGTGGTCACCCATAGCAACCCAATCTAGAAATAGCCGCATTTCAAAGGTCTTCACCGAAGATAAAAAAAATCTTTATTTATGAAGCGAATACATACTGTTTGTTCATCCCCTTCTGTGCTCAACCCTAACGCATTTCACCATTCCGGCATACTCATAGAGATAGCTCCATTTGCTAATGCAGATAATATTGACTGTGATGTTTTATTACTATTTGTCGGGTACTATAATCATATAATTGCATTGTTTTTGTAGAATCTTCTATTTTTCTTTTTTGTTTACATCTGTGGATTATTTGAAAAGTACACCAGCCCCTCCCACCCCTCCCTTTTTTGGGGCATTTAACCTTTTAATTAACTCTTTCCCAGGGAATATCTAATAACAGATTTGCAATGAAAATGCAAAAACAGCAAAGCAGAATCGTTTCAAATCATGGGGTGCCAAAAAGGCAAGTATATTGTGCTGACAGGCTCACTTTAAAGTGACACTAAACTCAGGAGTTAAATCTTAAAAATGCATTCAAGTATCCTAACTATTAACAATCATATGTATCTTGTTTGTGTATCACTTGGCTGTAGAGCCTTAAATCATCTCTGAATTGGTACTGACACTGTCCTTCCTTCTGGAGGGTGGCTACTTTTGTTCCCCATGGTCCCTGTGTGTGCTGTAAAGTAGCCACCGCTCCAAGCTCAGTCCGATGATGGACTGCAATGTCAATACAAATTAGTAAACTAAACGTGAGATTGTAGTCTATCACAGGAGTGAGTTTGGAGCAGTGGCTAGTTTACAACACACAGGGACCATGGCAAACAAAAGTAGATTGGAGGATCTACAGCTGAGTGATACACAAATAAGATACATTGGGGGGAATTTAAAAGCAATTGCGACAGTTTTAGGCTCTTAGATTATTTTTGTATATGCAAATCTGTTTAGCCTCTCCTTTTAACATGTGCGCCTGTTTTGACCAGAGCGTGCGCTATTTTCCTGATTGTGCGTGTTTTGCGAAAGTTCGCAACTGTTTTCATCTGCACTTGTCCTGCGGCTGTCTAAAACTGGAGCATCACCTAACAAAACAATCACAACTTAAGAAGTCCCCATGACCACTTCAAGAAGCCACAGTTAAGCTTTTTGCCTGGAGTTGTGAGTCTTCCTTGCCGGAGTCTATTTAATCTCATTTATGAACACTTACAACATAAATCTGGTACAAATCTATCCCATGCGACCATTTGCGAGTTCATACACTCGCAACTGCTATGATAAATTCCCCCCATTTTTGTTAATAGTTTGGGTACATGAATGCATTTTTAAGATTTAACTCCTGAGTTTAGTGTCACTTCAAGCAGTGCCCATCCTGCATATGTATCTTCCAAAAAAGAAAAGAAAATACACTCTGCTTTTGTTCCATTGTCGCCACACAAGACAAAGCCATTGGTTCTCATTCATTGAGGGGAGAAGTAGTAGTTGCATCTGATTAAGTGAGACTTTGCACGGCTTCCGTAGACTCTGATCGGAGTGCTGATTATGTAGATTATCCAGGATCAGAGCAAGTTTCAGCAGCTGTCAAGATGTGTTCTCTTGTTATGATCGCAGCTCGTTTTCTGGGTTCCCGTATAAACGTATTCTTTTAAATCACGCTTGATAGATAAATCTGGCACCGTCTCGGTGATGAAAACGAGCAAAGACAATTCTATAACTTCGGCATCTAAAGCTGCTGCAATGCCCAAGACTGCAGGATCGTTGATGGGAACTTTCTACTCTGTAAGTTGAAATTTTACACAGTGGCTGCGTGCCAGCATTCTATCTTATTCAGGTCACGATGCTGTTCCTCACCATGAACAGAAATCCTGTTTACACTAGAGCTTGAGAAAGGGTTAACACAGCTCGAAAGTTGTGTTAGGAATTTGTATGAAAAGCTCTTCATTTGTGTTGAGGAATGTCACTGCCTTCTGGAAGCCCCCTTACCTGCAAATAAAAAAATAGCATATTATTTAGGAGTGTGTATTAATGTTACATCTTAGCAGTTACTGCTACCATTGCTATCGAGATATCTGTACAAAATAAGTCAAGGCAACCGGACTTGCTGTATTTTGTCAGTTGCCTTGACTTATTTTTTACAGATATACTATGACCTGGATGAATGAGAACCTTCACAGACATTGCCATCCAGAATTTACCAGTTGTTTAAACTAGGTTGCAAAATAGTAGCTAGACATTGATTTGTGTGGATGGACTATGACACCTGTGACAAGAGAGCTTGGCACCAAAAAATAGTTAACAGAATGTAAGTTTTTTTTTTTTAACTATGATCACATTAAGAACTAGGGGATGCAAATCGACATCATAAATGTTATTTTTGCAGCAGCTGTTTTATAAAGAACAATAAAATGTGTCTGATTGCTTAACACGTTTAATTATCTGGAGTGACTTTACAGTGCCTGTGTTTGTTTTTCATTTAACAGCAGTAGAGTTGCTTAGAGATTAGTGAAGAGGTCCCTTGAGCTTATTAGATAGAATTTTTTTGTTTCCACACAATAGCCTTTAGAGATTTTACATTGTATATTATTTATTTTGTGTGACTTTAAGTGACACTAAACTCTGGAGTTAAAGTGATATTTAACTCAATTTTTTTAAGGAGACCCTCCTTTGCTTGAGGCTGTTGCTTTTTTTTCTTTAAAGGTTCTTCATTCTTCATTTTCTAGTGGGTCCCCATGCTCTTCCCCCCGCCCCCTGCACGGGTGCCACCATCGTTCAAATGGAGGCACCCGTGCGCGCTCGTGCGCGCAGCAGCTGTGTGCGTCCAATAAACACACACAGCCCTGTGACCGGCCACGCCCCTTCCCTCTTTGATTGATGGCAGAAGGAGCCTATGGCACCTCTGCCATTAGCATCCTCCCCGCAACCCAGAAGTTCAGGGAACGCAGGATCGCTTTGGGAACGGTGGCGGGGACGAGTGCAGCTGACAGGTAAGCGTGGGGGGGACTGGGGTAGAAAAAAGGTGAAGACCAGTGCTGCTGAACCATTTACCGCCCAAACGGTGACAGAAGCTCCTCCACCAGACACAGATACGTCTGACTGTGACACCATTGAGGGTCAAAGTGGCATGCCATAGATAGTTTTTTTTACATTCTTTTCTTTAAGTAAAGTACCAATCATAACAAGAAAAGTAGAACAATAGCAAAAAACAGTAAGCCAGTACCAGTCCTGAGCAATACAGTGCCTGTTAGATACCATTAGAAGGGAGTTGTAAATAGGCCAAAACAAGACATAAAGGGCTAAGAGCATAGAAGTTTGAAAGTAAAGAGAAAAAGAGAAAAAAAGGAAAAAGATAAATGTGGGAGGGGGCACAGAGACGGGGGAAGGAGGATACACAAGTCAAGAAAAGACAGAAAGGGGGCGGACAAGGGCCTAAGAATCCACCATAAAGGAGTGGTACTCTGGAGAGAAGACAAAATCGGACCAGTAGAACCATGTTTTGCGAAATGGTTCTTCCTTAGAGTGTGAGGTTGCCATAGGTGAGACGGTAGCGGCCGGTCTGAACCCAATGTACATCACCAAACCGTGACTATACGCAGTTTTGATCATACCGAGCCATCACAAGGTTGTTGTAAAAACACTTTCAGCCTCCCCCTGCACAGAGATTTTCCAGCCCGCAGGACAACACTCTAAGGCCTGCAGACTGAGAACGGGGGCTAGTTAACACAGCAGTTAACCCTGTACACACCCAAACACCCTGCCAACACGTGTTCTAATGGAAACACACACCGTTCTCAGAAAATGCTCTGACAGTTCTGAAACTTAAAGGAGAACTATGGGGTGAATGAAATACACTTATCCCAATAGTTAGACTCGACGTGGGACACTGCAGCTGTCACAAGTCGGCTCTATAGATCTAGAACTAAGCGATCACAAACTGTTGAGCGCCCAGTTCATTATCTTCTCCCTGCAGAAAACAGTAACTGTCCACAGGGATTCCCCCTCCCATCTCCATTCCTTCAGTGCTGACTGGAAAGACAGACAGGGGAGGGGGCGGGAACAATCAGCTAGCGGGGTAGATCCCAACAATACTGTCCAGATCCTTCCTGGCTGCAGCGGGGCTCTGCGCTGTCAGCATATAGCGGGCCAGCCGAATAAGGCTGTAGCAGTGCGAGCGATGAGAGTGTTTAACGACAACCTTCCTTGTTAAGGTTTCACAAAATGAAAAAGATTCCATTGAGTCCAGAGATAGCAGTGATTCCGTTAGTGATAGTGAAAAGTCGTCCTACACAATAATCCTCCTCTCTCTCGTCCCCCTCACACAAGCCACAAAGGTACCGATAATTGGTTTATTTTTCTATATATTTTATACAGTATTATATTACAGTACAGAATTGTAATCATTTTTATATGAATATTTTTGGGTTGTGGAACGAATCATCTGAATTTCCATTATTTCCTATGGGGAAATTCGCTTTGACAAGCGCTTTGGATTACAAGCATGCTCGTAAACCAAGGTATCACTGTAATTCTCTTTGGAGAGCTTAAATCCCTGTCAACCAGCCATAACCTAGAGTTGGTCGGTGATCGTGATTCGGATAGAATCACGTATCAGTCCAGTACCTCCTAAGCCGAATGTGCTAGAAGGCTTGTATTTTGTTTTGAGTGTAATGTTTACACATTTTTTATGGGCATCTGTAAATGGCAAAATATAAAAAATATACATTTTATGTTTACTTGTTCTAGCTGAAGGAGAATAAAGGCAACATAGGAGGGACCTTTGAAGATATTTTGGAAGAACGGCGAAATTCCAGCGATTTTCGATATGCCACTAAAAGTTTTACGCCAATGATTTACAAAGATCTTACTCCGTGCAGGCCAAGTGTTCTGAAATCCATTGTTATTGATTCTGATCAGATGCAATATGTAATGAAACAGGTAAGCCACTTAGGAATAATTAGCTGGTATAATTAGTGCATGGCTACACATTTTTATCTTTAGGCATTCTAAACAGTGGCTTGCGAAAACTGACTTTGTGTTACTGCAGGAGGTTGGGTGATTCTTGAGAAATTAAATCACCCAGCAAATCTCCAAAACCAATATTTTATTCACAATAGATAATAGAGAACATATTAAATGTTTAAACTGAGAAAATTTATAATTTTAAGAAAGAAATAAGGTAATTTTTAAGTTCATGGCAGCAACACGTCTCAAAAAAGTTACAACAGGGCAACAAAGAGCTGGCAAAGTAACAGGTACTAACAAGGAAGAGCTGTAAGAACATTTTGCAACTAATTAGGTTAATTGGCAACAGGTGAGTAACATGATTGGGTATAAAACGGAGTATCGTAGAGAGTCAGAAGGTCTCAGAAGTAAAGATGGGAAGGGAAAAGCTGCATCTAAAACTCGCCGAACAATTTCAGAATAATGTTCCATAACATAAATTTGCAAAGACTTTGAATATATCATCATTTAGAGTACATAATATCATCAAAAGATTCAGAGAATCTGGAGAAATCTCTCCAAGGGACAAGGCTGAAATGCAATATTGGATGTCCATGATTTTCATGCCCTCAGACAGCACTGCAATAAAAACAGGCATAATTCTGTGATGGACATCACTGCATGGGCTCAGGAATACTTCCAAAAATCACAGTTCACTGTGCCATCCAAAAATGTTAGTTTATGCTTTAACATGTAAAGAAGAAGCCATATCTGAACATAAAATGCCACTTTCTTCTCTGGTCTCAAGCTCATTTGAAATGGTCTGTTGCAAAGTGGAAAACTGTTCTGTGGTCAGTCGAAATTTGACATTCCTTTTGTCAACCATGGGCTCCGCGTCCTCTGGACTAAAGAGGAGAGGACCTTCTGGCTTGTTATCAGCGCTCAGTTTAAAAGCCTGCATCTCTGAATCCAAATGCTTCCCTGCGTAACTGTTGGAAACCTCTGTTGCCCCCTTTGGGATGAGCTGGTACATGGTCAATCACCATCCCTCTCAGCTCATGAATCTGATGTCTACACTCTGCAAAATTGTTTGCCACGGTTTATCAATTTCTTGTCCCTTGGCAAGTTTTTCAATGGTGACTGTAATATCACTCCGGTGTTTCTGAAAATGCCTTTTGAAGGGTCTTGTGGTCTTACCCACATATACCAAAGTACAGGGACTTTTTGTATGTAAACGCAATGTTCTGTGTTGCAGTTAAAATACTCTCTGATGTTATACCTGTTGCTTTTGCGTGGGTGTGGAAAATATTCACCAGTGACCAGTGCATTGCATACATTACAATTATGGCATTTAAAGCAGCCAATTCTATGTGATATTTTGAATGAAGTTTGTAATTTGCTCTTGGATCTGCTTGGTTGAGAAAGTCCTTGAATGATTTGCTGCAGCAATATACCTGTAACAGTCTCATCTTAACCATAGAAGTCAAACCTTTGTCTACCTGGATAATGTTTATGTGTGTTCTTCATCTGCTCTACTTGCGCTATGGCGGCCAGGATCGCCCCTGCTCCTTTCATACAAGTGATCTAATCAGATCACTCGTAAGAAAACGAGCGGCGGCTCCACACTATACATTTAGCTCTGCTTGTCAGGAGCAGGGCTAAATGTGCAAAAAAAACGACTCGCCCGGCGCCCAAAACTGCATGTCCTGGGCGTCGGGCGATAGGGATTCCACGCGCCCTGGGTACACTGTCAGTCCCGCCGCCTCAGCTCCCACACATTCGCTCCATAAGACGCACAGACATTTTTGCCCGCCTTTTTTTTTGGGGGGGGGGGGGGGAGTGCGTCTTATGGAGCGAAAAATACGGTATGTCATTCTAATACATAAATGACAAGTCAAGAATGACATGCTGATGTCCCATTAGTACAGTCGTTATGAACCTTTTTGACCAACATACCCCCTCAGGGGTCATCCATAAGCCCAGGCACCCCCTAAGAATGTATAATCTGAAAATGTTTTATAAAGTTTAAATACCTTTTAAATACATCTACAGTATAAATAAATACAGCTTAAAGAAAGCGCTGTGTTGTGCCTTTTTTTGTTTGACTGATAGCTTTTGTTCTGGCCTCAGGAAGAATCATATTGATTTCTCTATGCAAATGAAATAAATGTACCAGCACTTTAATATGGTTCAGCCAAGAATACTACCCATCTTATAGTAATGTTGCCTTAAACGCCTTGTATTCAAGGCACTAGATTTCATATAATTGACAACTTTCACCTCAAAGTTAAATGTGTCTATTAGTTCTGCAAGTTCTTCTGTGGTTTTTACTACCAAACTTTCTTTGTTGATTAAAAGCTGCTTATACAGTATGTTCATTATGAGAAACAGGCTTAAAATAGATCCATCAACAGATATATTTTTCATATTAAAATGCACCTGTGCACTACCCATGGAATTTTGTAATATTTCTAAGTACATATTGATAAATTTTACATATTCTTAACAAGCGGTAAAAGAGCTTGGAAACAAGCTCTTACTAACCTCTGTAGCTACATGTACTGTGAAGTAATTCATTCTCAAAATCCACAGGGGCTCCGTTTTCGAATAGGTCCCAACAACTTACAGCACCTGCTGTTTGTTTACATTAGAAGGCAGGCAGACTGCCAGGTTTCTGCTGCCACAGAAAATAGGGGAGATGAGTTGTGAATGCACACACTTTTTTCTATTCTCCCTTGAAGGACACAGCTTGCTAATGATTAAGCAACCTAGGGTTTACTGCTGCCTACAGTGGAAATGGACACCAGGCACATAGAAAAGGAACGCCAGCCCCCTTGAGGTTATAATCCCTCCCAACTGCTCACTTTTGCTTAGTGTTCTTAAAAGCAATGGATGTTTCCTTCTGTATTGATATATTGTTTAATTGAATTGGAATTTCTTTTACCATCAACAGCTAATACTCAGATATTGGAAAGCCTGGACTTCTCTTCAATTAGTCAGTGAACATAGGTTTCCCAGTTCCCAGCTAGGTATACTGGTGTTCTCTCTCCAATAGTCTCTCCAATATTCCTGTCTTTATTCCATTTAGCATAGGACTTCGCAATTCAGGTCAGGCAAGTATATCTGGGGATTGCTTGAAAAAATTATGTCCGCATCTCTGAGGACTTTGGTTAGCAGCCTTTTTGCTGTGCTTAATTTTTGTTGTTCTCTTTTTTTGTACATAGGCTGTATAGGTTGAGCTTCTATTGCAGCAGTTGTCACTGACGAGGGGGATATAATTTTTCCTTTTTTTTTCTGCTTGGATTGCTTATATACTTCTATGTGCTGTACATTTTGGGCAGTGTGTTGAACTTGCAGGCCCTGCCTTTTCATTTTCACTACTGGGGCTGCGGCCAAACTGCCACTTCAAACTTCCTGTCATTTTCTCTGTGGAAAGTATTGCTAACTCTGCCAGCTGCCTGGAGCTCTCATGAATAGGTCCTCCACAGGCACTATGAGTAGGTGGTATTTGCAAGTTTTCCCAGTCACTGTAAAACCACCTCACTGCATTCCCAAATGAACAACACTTTTTACAGCATTGCTGGATGCTTGCTCACTTATACCTCGGGTAGCTTTTTCTTCTGTTCAGATCTTTGTGCTATATCTCAATTTTTTTTTTCACATGTATCAGCAATATCTGACGGACCTTCTTTCAGCCATGCAGAGACTGTTGAACCAGGGGGTTATCAATCCTGTTAAAACCTGTTTACAATCTGTTTTGGCATTCATTCCATGTTGTGTTTAAAGGACCTTGTTTTTGTACATCAGCATAATTTTTGGATGGAATCTATTCAAGCAGATGCTTGTATTCTTTTTTTAATACCTATTGCCCCAGCTCCATCTATTGGCCACAATGTATTATTCCAATAAACTACATTTGAACTGGGAAACTCCATCTAGTGGTCATAATGTATTATCACAACACTATATTTGAACTGGGAGAAATATATTAAGAACATTTGTTTTTTGCATTATTTGCCCCCAAAATTTTAAATTGATAAAATGTTAATGTTAGATATTCAAAAGGAGAAAGTCCCTGTGGATTGTTCATAAATAGACCCCTAAGTGATGCCTGTATTTTTTTTCCAATTATAAAACCAGATGTCACTGATGTGGTCTTTTTGTATATTACCCTTCTTCATTGCCTCGAAAAAATATACAAGTTAAGCTCTTTTAATTTTTTCTTTCAAAATGTCTTCTCCAGAGAAAGAGTTTCCTATGGTTATTACTAAGTTTTTATTCACATATTAAGCTTGGAATGTGGTTTGTCTCTGCACCACAAAAGTAGAAGCCATATTTCAAAAATAATGTTTGAAAATATTGAATTTTGATCATAGATTCTAGATGACTGTGTGGTTTCTGCCCCAAACTGGGGCTTAGAGAAGGTTGGTCAACCTTATGTAGAACCCACTCAACTTTTTTCTTGCAGCTCGGGGCAGGCTATGGAGCCATGATTTTTCATATAGTTTACAAGACAGCCCAGTGCTGCCTGATTCTGCTGACTTGTCCAGTTATTTTTAATATTACAGAAAGACTGATGACAAGAAGGCTGCTCTTATTTATAGACTATTATCGGCATTTCTCTGCAGTGAGTTCCAGAACTAACAAAACCAACATTTGTAATAAATATTATGGAAGTCAGACACACAATTATAAAAAAGGAAATTAAATTGCAGTTTGAATGCAGAATATAATATATACCGGTATGTGTGTATACAGTATATGTATAATATTGTTTGTTTAGAGTTATGTAGAGTAAAATATGTTAATAAATATTATAATTAGTAATTGAATTATCAAAAATGTGAGCTAAGATACTTTTAAATAATAACATCCATAATTGTATAAAAGATGTCAGCTATGCAGAAAACCAATTAGCTTATTTCCGGCTGCTGTGCATTGGGAAACCGAATCATTATCTGTGCCATCCTCTGTGTCATACTGAAATAACAAAATTGTAGCTGTTGCCAACATCCATGTGTAATAATTGCTTTGGAAACCTGTCATATATGTTTTTTAGTCATGAACCTATCGAATGTACAGTTAAGTATCGTGAATGCAAAAAGTTTCCAGTGTATAATGAACATGGGCAGGTCTGTACTTGTGTGAATCAACTGTTCTGAATTCATTTATTATCAGATTTTCTTCACTATGCTGTCAAAACACAATATTGTAGAAACACTAAACTAAAAAATGTTTTATGCAGTGTGTTGTATAACAAAACAATATCCAAAATAATAGACAATCCTACAGATTATACCCATTTTATAATGGATGGGTAATTATTTTTGTACATCTTTCTTTAAAAGAGAAGTAAGGCCAATCCTTTTTTAACCTATATTTCTCGTTTGGGTAACAAAAGTGCTTTTAGTAATATACTCCTGCCAGTTCTGGAGAAGCAGAGAGGAGAGGGGGGAATCCCTACGGGGGGTGTTCAGTGACTGATAGTCACTGCTCTCCACTCGGAGCAGAGACTGAGAGCTGATTGGTCAGTGGTTACGTGATCAGTCAACTCTTGGTCTTAGAGACGGTGTGGGACAGCAGCAGCATTTTGTAATTAGGGGGAAAGGGGTTGTCACATAAATGACCCTTGTATTTTAGTCCAAGATCCACTTTGAGGTTATTGCTATAAGGTAGCTGAGATAGCTAATCCTATCCCTTTCTGCATCAACTTGGTGGAATTAATTTATGTACTGCTGCATTTTTATTTAGCTGATAATACCTTGTAAATATACACCTAACAAACACAATTTATTGCTACTCTGCTATAAGACCATGTCATCTTTAATCTAACACTTATATGTAACATGTGTGATATACCCACACAAAGCCTGAATCCCTAAATGTGGGGTTCTGTGCTTTCTTACTGCTACATGTTATGTGGGAAAATCCTTCTGACCTGGCTCACTTCACTTCAGATCGGTCATTCACTCAGCTGCCCTCGGCAGCTTCGTGAATAGACCCCTTAGTGTTATTAAGCAGGTTAGGAAGGGTGCAGGAGTGTAGGGCAAAAATATGGTATGTACAGTCCAAACCTTTCAGAAGAAGAGAATAACGCATCTGCAACAATTGTACATCCAAATTATTAGTCAGACTGGTTGGACTTTGTACTTCTTGCCTTTTGTTCGGCTACATAATTTGTTAAAGGAGCTAAATTATGCTTTCATAGACCACTATCTTTTTAGTAATTGCCATATGTGAAGGGGGAGGACCTCTTGATCCATGCATTCTGCAGTGACTATACAGGAAACATCCACTCTGATTCCTTTTCTAACCCAAATCAGGGAAACCACTCACCAGACCAAGGGAAACCACACAACAGCTGTTTGACAGAGCTTTCCTTTGCAACTACCATCCTAATTCATAACTGATTCTCTATCAGCTTAAGTTTCCATGCACCCATAGGCTCCCACAGACCCCCGCGTTTCAATGAAAGTGGAGTGAAGAACACAGGTCAGAGACAGGGAGTGTTTTATTACCCATAAACTAATGGCATTAGGAGGGTAAGAAAGGGTAGTGGTGCCATGGTTTTCCATGTGGCTGGGGTCTCTGTATCTGATAATGTTGGAAAGGGAGCAGATGCATGACTGGTAAAGAGAAGGACTGGAGGGAGGGAGCTGCATCCAAAAGTAATTCCTCATGATCAACTGGAGATCAGCTTTAAACATTCCCCTACAATCAAAGGCTACAAGAGACTCTGCCTACTGATGAATACTGAAAGCTGCTGACAGGTATGAAGTGCATGTTCACAGAGGTGCTTCCACATATCTGCAGAAGCTTTCAGAGTCTCCAGTTTACCTGAATGCCAGCCATTTGTATAAGGCAATGTTTCTATAGTAAAAAAAAGAAAACAAGAACAGCACCCTCTCTTCGTGTAATAACGCTTTATATTTTAAAATTGATATAACGGTTAAATTTATACTCACAAGAGTTCGTATATATAAAAGCTTGTAGGTTCATGCATAATAGGAACGATATGCCACTAAGCCAACTGGACATCAGAGCATTAACACAGGCAATGGATAGGTTGGGGTTAACGCGTTTCAATGGTTAAACTATCCTCATCAGAACCAAAAAAGAGATTTGGTTTTGGTTATGATGAAGATGGTTTAAACAATGAAACACATTAACCCCAATCTATCCATTGCCTGTGTTAATGCTCTGATGTCCAGTTGGCTTAGTGGCATATGCTTCCTAGTATATGCTGTTCTTGTTTTCTTTTTTTGCATGTGCTTTGAGGTATCCCCACCTACAATTGAACAGCAGCCCCTTCGTGAAAATATATGGAATCTTCCTCTGTGTCCCTTGACGAGTGAGAAATCTCTACGAAAGCGCTGAACAGTTTGGTTAATAATATGCTATCTAATGTTTGATAGTGATGTGCCCATCACTATCATAAACTCCTTCTTGTCTTCTCATTTTAAGATCAGCCTGGAGACTGGTGAACCCTTTGATATTATTCAGGAACAAGCTTGTGAGATCTTGGATGAAATGGGTCACAATCTGAAATTAGGTGCAATTCGAATATTTGCTCTGGGTTTATGCAAGATCTTCAAAAGGCTTTATGGGAAAGTATTTTGCAATGTGGAAGGTATTCAGAAGGTAAGTGTTATCAAAAGTTATCAAAAGTATACCTGTTATAACAGCCTTTACCTGTATATATTACCTGTATAGCCTTTACCTATATATATATATATAT